CACCCGAGCAAGATTCAAAATTTCCTACCGACTGAAAATGTTTGGTGTGTCCCGCGCGCTCATATTATGACCTTATGCAGTTGTGAGGGCCGTAAAACATCTACAAATAAAAATCAAATCAAATCAAACAAGCTCTAGCCACGTCCTTGCAAAGGAAAAGATCTCGAGTTTATAAGGGGTACTTAACAACTTAACAATACTAGAGGCATGTCTGACGTCACGGTGGTATCGTCTGACATTTATCCTCTTTGGAAAACGTGACGGCCGAAGCGAGACTGGCTCCTCTTTACATACGCCACTCTTTCCTTTCAGTGGATCACTCCGTGATAATCCTCCCTTTCTATAATCTCCCCTCTCTTCCATTACAACCACTTAGATTCCCTGTTATATCTGTCTCTCTTTTCCTACAGTTGTTCATGTCTTTGTTAGTGAGCAGTAGGAACGTGTCGGGGTATTGCATTATGATGGCCGTTTCGACTCATTTCCTTATTTGTCAGTGTTTTCTGCACGATTGCCTTGTAATCTCCCTCGCTTTGAAATTGTGACTGCTATGTTATTATAAGTTAAACAATAATGTACAAATAGGGGAACGGAGAATATATCACGTAATCTCGGTCTCTGTCTCTGTCTCTCTTTTTCTCCTGTGTGTTTGTCTCTCTCTCCGTCTCTGTATCTATCTCCGTCTCTGTCTCTCTGTCTCTGTCTGCCTCTCTCTCTCTCTCTCTCTTTCACTCTCTCTCTCTCTCTCTCTCTCTCACACACACACACACACACACACACACTCACACACACACATTATAATCATTATTGTTCTGCTTTCGTACTTCCTTGTTGCGCTATTCCAAGTAAGCCACATGTCAATACAAACGATCAGACGGCGTAACGTTGCAGTTTTTGCCTGTAATGACAATCGAACGCCTGCTCGACCAATCAGAGACGAGCGTTACTCCATACCATGCCCGGGTGAGCAGCAATGAAATACCTCAAAACTTTCGCCTGTGGGACTGAGCGCTAAACTGGTGAGCATCTTCTTTTGGGAAGGACTTCTGCTGCTTTTCGTCCTGGGATATCTACGTGAACGCACGCGCGTCCTTCCCTTTTGCGGTGACTTCAGTTTCGAGGATATTTATTTACAGAAGTCGCTGAAGAAGATACTTCCTTCTTCGTTTTTGAACTTTTTATTTTCCAAGGTGGCCAAACGATAATATTGAAAATTAGATCTAGGTTTTATTTTATTGTGTTAGATTGTTGTTTGTTGTTGCTGCAGCTGTTGTTGTTTTCGTGTTGTTGTTGTTGTGTTGTTGTTGTTGTTGTTGTTGTTGTTGTTGTTGTTCAAAACGGAAACAATCGACCAAAAGCAGGCCATTCCAGGAAGTACAGTTGGGCTGGGTTTTTTTTCCAAATTTATAGTCGTTTTTTTTTTGCCGCCGAAATTTCTTCGCATTTGATCTTCCGAACATACACGCGGAGATATAGGCCTACATGTACATTCAAAACTAAAACTGGCTCCCAACGTAACTTTATTTGAACTCCTTTCCTCCATCTTATTTCTGAGACGGTAGTAGCGACCGATACTTTGTCCAGAAAGTTGTATCTTTCGTTTCTTTGTAGAGTGTTTTTTTGTGTTTTTTTGGGTTGTTGTTGTGGTTTTTTTAAAGTAAAAAATGGCGCGCATATGACCTTATGCAGTTGCGAGCGCCGTAAAACTTCTAGTAAATCAAAACAAATTGTAAAATATTATGTATTTTTCAATGTACTCAACAATTTACCCGATTCAATGTTGTTTTTGCTTGTCTTCTTCCTCATCAGCTTTGACATAAACAGTTATTTTTTCAAAATTATGAAAGTGTACTTGTGCCTGGGAAAAGGTTCCATTTGTGAGGCAGCATGGTGGAATCAGGCTCTCGTCAATTTTTGGGCTTGTAGAGTTATTGGTATCATCTTAAATCTTGTTCGCTTGTCTTTATTTGGATGATAAAAAATATCCATTTATCTTAAATACAAGTCGAGATGTTTGCGAATGAAGGTGGTGGGGGTCACCTGTTTTCAGAGGTAAATTAAGTGAGAAAATGGCCACCAAAGATTAGAAGTTTCTTTAGCTTAAGAGTCCGTGGTAACTGAAAATTTACATTTTTGTGCCTTTAATCAACATTTTTATGAAAAATCCCCACAGAAATGAGTTCTTTAAAGAGCATAAAAGGTGTTGAGCAACAACAACAACAAAAATTTGATAAAAATTAACAAACCTGCTGAAAAATGCAAGTTTCTTCACTTTGATTATTTTGACGAGAGCCTGATTCCACCACGCTGCCTCACATTTGTCGGGGAAGCTTTTTTTGAGAAACAGGGTGAAAAGGCCAAAAATGTGGTACTTGGTCCAAAATTGAGTTCCACCAGTAAACACACCTTTAACGATTTATTATTAATATAACATATGGAAATAATTTTGTAACATTTTAATTCTAAATGTTTTATATTAATTATGTAACATGTTGTACCTCATCAACGTTTAATAATGTGCTCGAAATTTGGTCAACATAATAATAAAGTTGGGTTTTTTTTCTTTCCAAACTTTGTTTTTACAGCCTGTGTTACAAAATATGGTACGTCTTGAACATGAAACGAGATATTAATTTATCTTTTTAAAATCAGTGCGTTCATTTAAATTTGCCTATAAGAACAAGCCCTTATTTCAAAGTCCGAAATATCCGAGAACGGGAACCTCTCTCTAGGCACACACG